ATGAAAGCTTGGCTGGGCTAGGCTTGCATCTGCAGGAATAAAAGCTGCGGGTGTTAGAAATCTGAAACAAACACAGAGAACGTTGGAGAAACCCAGCAGATCTGGCACCATCTGTGGAGATTCTGCAAAGGGCCTCTAGACTTCAAACGTTAACTCTGTTTTCTCTCCCCAGACGCTGCCAGACCTGCTGAGTTTCTCCAGTATCCCCTGCGTTCATTTCAGATTTCCAGCACCTGCAGGATATTGCTTTTGTTCATGCAGATACAAGCCTAGCCTGTCCAATTCTCCAACTTTCTCTGTGCTTGTGTCAGCTGGAGTTGCGAAGAGCAGTAAGAGGGCATTTGATTGAAACATATGAGATCCTGATGGGGTCTTGACAGGGTAAGTGAGGACAGGATGTTTCTTTTTGTGGGAGAGTCTACAACTCAGGAGCCACTGGTTAAAAATAAGGTATTGCCCATTTAAAATAAAACTGTTCAAAAGAATTTCACCCCACATATCAGTCTCAGGAACTCCGTTCCTGAATAGATGCTGGAAGCAGAGTCTTTGGATATTTTTAAGGCCGAGGTAGTTGCATTATTGTTAAGCAAGGGGGTGAAAGGTTATTCAGGATATGCGAGAATGTGGATGAGAGGCTACAATCAGAACAGCCATCATCTTATTGAATGACAAAGCAGGTTCAAGGGGCTGAATGGCCTACTTCTTCTCCATGATCATCTGTTCATAACAGCTGTCTGAGACAAAAACAGACTATCCTCATCTCAGCTTTAAACGGGTGACGCCACAATCAGGACCCCTACAGTGCAGAAACAGGCCATTCAGCCCATCAACCCCAATCCCATATGGAATTTTTACCACAGCGTACCCCATCGAACCTACACATCCCTAGACACTACAGGGTGATTTTTCGCATGGCCAATCCACCTAACCTGTATACCTTTGAACTGTGGGAGCAAACCAGAGGAAACTCATGCAGACACGGCGAGAATATGCAAGCCCCACACAGACAGTCACCTGACGCTGGAATCAAACCCGGGTCCCTGGCACCGTGAGGCAGCAGTGCTAACCACTGTGCCACCGTGCCGCCTAATACAGTCGGTTTTGCTATAACACGTCTTCCGGCAATGCAAATTGGCTACAACGCGACTGATGAGTAGGGGAACACTATTTCTAAATAGTTGGCTGTATTGCGATTCCATCAGAGTGCGAAGGAGTACGTGTCGATATCGCATGATCGTTTCGTGGGCGTTGTCCTGAGCACGTGCAATGTTAGCGCCGAAAGAGTCTCCGTGCCAGCATCACATGCTCGTTTTGCGGGCTTTGGTGTGAAGTGCTTTCTGTGAGAGGTACAATACTCTATGATTTTCGTGTTTTTTTTTTGCAAATTCTGCCACGTTACCTACAAAAATGCAACGACAAAGTGACAAGAATGTTAGCAAGAAGTGTTCCTGGTGATAAAATTGAGGGTGGTGAATGTAAAAGAAAGGCTATAACACTAGAAGGAAAGCTAGATGTTGTAAAGCATTTTGAGCATAATGAGACAACATGTGATTTGGTTCACGTAACAGGAATAAAGGAGTCTATCTTATGCACCATTAGAGACAATGTAGAAAAGATTAAAGCAAGCTATATTGCTGGAACAAGTCTGAGAGTTAGCAGATCTGTGAGGTCACAGACAAAGGAACTTGAGGAGATGGAGTGGCTTCTATGTGTGTGGATAGAAGATCAAACAACAAAGCAATCTAGGACCACTTTTCTCACCATAAAAGAGAAAGCCTTATCAATTTATGAAGATCTAATGAAAAGAGTTGAAAATCCTGCAGATGTGCCAGCAGTGGCTGGTTTGCTGGTTTCAAGAATGTGGCGAAGCTGCCAGTGCAGATGAGGAGCATACGACGGCATTTCCTCCCACAGTAAAAAAAAAATTAATTGACAAATAAGGCTACAGTTTAGATCAAAATTTCAATTTGGATGGGATAGGTTTATACTGGAAGCGCACGCCATCAAGAACCTGCATTTCTATGGATGAAGCACATGCTCCAGGTTTTAAAGTGCCAAAGGATCATATGACTGTGCTGCTGGATGCCAATGCCTGTGGAGACTTAAAGCTTAAGCCTGTGGTGGTGGACCACTCTGCCAATCCGTGAGCCTTGAAAGGTTACCTTAAGTCAACTCTAGGCGTCTACTTTAGGTCAAGCAAAAGAGATTGGATAGCAGGACAAATTTTTTATGACCTTATTGTTGATGTTTTGTAAGACATTTGCAGGAAATAAATTGCAGGAAATAAAATTTGGATTTCATGATTCTCCTTATCCCGGACAATGTGCTAAGCCGTCCTCCCACCAATGGTGAGCTTTCTGAAAACATCAAAGTACTATTTCTACCCCCAAACACAACCTCTCTCCTTTGACCCATGGACCAGGGTGCATTAGCAGCTTTTAAAACTTATTATTTAAGGTGCACATTTAAAAGGCTGATTGCAACCACTGAGGGGGATAAGGACAGTGTTCTTCAATTTTGGAAGAGCTTTAACATCAACAATGCAATTGTCATTATCATGGAGGCCTGTGGTGATGTCAGTAAGGACTGCTTGCATACAGTTTGGTGGAAGCTTCTTCCAGTTTTTTTTCAAGATTTTAAAGGCTTTGATCCATCAGAGGAGCTTCTAAGAATTAAAGAACATTGTGTTGATCTTGCAAAGCAAGTTGGATTTGAAGAAGAGGAGAGTGAGGATGATGAAGAGCTGCTTGAGTCTCACTGTGAAGACCTCTCTACAGCTGATCTACAACAACTTGTCACTGAGGGGGAAGTGGAAGCTGGAGATGAAGAAGATGAAGCCCAGGATGCAGCACCATGAGAGCTTTACACTTCTGTTTTCTCTTCTATCCTGAGCGAAATTGAGAAGAAGTTGCAGCTCTTAGAGGACAACGATTACAATGCAGAACACAGCAGGGTAGCAGTTCATGGAATAAGATCTTATTTGGCACCCAATGAACAGCTTCTTCATGAACGAAGAAAAAGGGCAAATCAGCAAAATCTGTATGTCTTTTTTAAGCCAACCCCTACGAAATAGTCAGAAGACAATGAACCATAGCCTTTATTTCTGGATTAACTATTTCTCACCCTAACCCTGCAACCACAACTGCACCTGAAGGTGATGATGACAACCCTCAGCCCTGCATTAACAACAGAGCTACCCCAGAACCTCCTCCCCCATCAATTCATCTTGCCATTTTCTCAAGGTAAGGTGTTAAATCTACTTTTATTTCATTATTAGATATGAATTAAACATTTATTCAAACTGTGCTATCCTTGGTGTTAGGCTTTTGAGTGATTTTTGAGCAATTTCAAGGTGATCTTTTTTGGTGGTCTGCCCCTAACCCTGCTTTTCCCATAGACCCCGTTATTTCTATAGCGTGATTTTCTATAAGGCGATGTTGCGCAGGAACGCAACTATTGTGTTATAGTAGAATGAACTGTATCAGCAGCATTGATCCTCATGAGCAATAAGCCTGATACAACAGACAGTCAAATGGTCTCACTTACCCAGAAGCTGATTGGCGGAAGAGGCAGAGAGGTTGAACTGCTGTTCAAGATATTTGCCCAGGAAAGCAGCAAATCCTGCAACTACAGCGATCTCCATACAGGCAGCGAGAACGATACATGTAAACACTGGGTTCGACAACAAGTGCTTGGTGACCTTAGGAATCACTGCAACAGGAAAAATAAACCCAAACTGTGAGGCCCTTTCAGCCCAGGGACAGGATCATTAATCATCACCAATATGACAGCAAGCTTCATGAGTTCTATATTTCCCATTCCTCATAATTAACCTCCTTCCCCATTACACAGGACCTGGCCAATACACAGGATAAACACTGGCTCTTCATCAGAGGGGCCTGAGTTCAGAGATACTAAATGAAGGCCCCCTTCTATCCTCTGAGGTGGATATTATGTCGTGGGATAATATCCTGGGGACCCAAGTTCAAATCCTGCCACGGTAGATGGTGGAATTTGAATTCAATAAATGTCTGGAATTAAGAATCTAATGGTGGCCATGAAACCATTGTCAATTGTTAGAAAAGCCCATCTGGATCGCTAATGTCTTTTAGGAAAGGAAACTGCTATCCTTACCTGGTCTGGCCTACATGTGACTCCAGACCCGAAGAAATGTGGTTGACTCTTAGAGGAAAGCACGGAAACTGACCCTTTGGTCCAACCAGTCCATGCCGAACGTAATCCCAAACTAAAATAGTTCCACATGCCTGCTCCTGGCCCATATCCCTCCGAACCTTTCCTATTCATATATCCATCCAAATATCTCTTAAACATTGTAATTGTACCCATATCCATCACTTCATCAGGAAGTTCATTCCACATGCAAACCACACTCTGTGTACAAATTTGCCTCTTATGTCTTTTTTAAATCTCTCCTCTCACCTTAAAAATGTGCCCCCTAGTCTTGAAATTCCCTATCTTAGGTAAAAGACAATTACCATCAACCACACCGCTCATTATTTTATAAACTTCTATTGGGTCACTTCTCAACCTCCTACGCTCCAGTGAAAAATGTTCCAGCCTATCCAGCCTTTCTTTATAATTCAAACCCTCCATTCCCTCGCAACATCCTGGCAAATCTTTTCTAAACCCTGTCCAGCTTGATAATATCCTTCCTATTACTGGGCGACAGAACTGGGCATAGTACTCCAGAAGAGGTCTCACCAATGTCCTGTACAACCTCAACATTACATCCCACCTCCTATACTCAAAGGACTAAGCAATAAAGGCAAGCGTGCCAAACGCCTTTTTAACCATCCTCTCCATCTGTGACACAAACTTTAAAGAATTATGTACCTGTATCCTAGGTCCCTCTGCTCTACGACACTACGCAAGGCCCGGCCATTAATTGTATAAGCCCTAACCCTCTGGGCGATTTTGGATTAATGATAAATCCTGGCCTAGCCGGTGATGTCCTCATCCCATGAATTAATAAAACAGAACAAAATCTCATGGCACTGTTATGAAGAAGAGCCGTGAGTTCTCCCAGTTCCTCTTCCAACAGCATGGGGTTGGGGAGCGAGGGTGGTGGTGCTCGTGAGCTACCAAAATTCCAAGGATTGCAGCAATTCAATAAAGCAGCTCCTCACCACCGTCTCAAGGGCAATTAGGACTGGACAGTAACTGCTAGCCCTGCCCATGTCCCATGTGTGAATAAAAGGTGAAGGTATTCCTCAAGTCGACATCGCTAAAAATAGACCAACAGATTTGAAAGAAAGAAATATTTCATTTATGTGGTAACTTTCATGACCTCCAAGATGCACAAAATAATTTGTAATCACTGTTGGATAGGAGATATGACAGCTGAGATGAACAGTGAAATAAATGAACGGATTTTGCGTTAGTGGAGGAAAAATATTGGGTAGAGCTCCCTGTTCCCTTTCGTAACAGCAAAGAGAGACCTGCATGAGCTGGCTTTAACAACTTGATGGAAACATAGCACCTCTAAAGGTGCAGCACTCCCTCAGCACTGCACTGGAGAACGGGCCTAACACATACACACTCGCCTTTGGACTGGGGATTGAAGCTATGACTCTGACCCAAAGGGGGCAGTGCTACCCCGAATCACCACCAGGCAGGGCTATTGATTGTGAAAAGTTTCCTGGTACACTGAAAGGAAACCAAGGCTTTTCCTGTAGCTTACGAGACTTTTGTACAGTTGAATTTAATTGAAAGAATGAAAATACAAGTTCAAGACAAAGTTAAACACAAATGTCAATGCAAGACCTGAAGTTGATGTCCAGCCTCTGAGTTCCCTCTGTCACCCCATCCATTGTGAGGACTCACTGAGTCTGAGAGTGGGATATATGAGGACTGGAGGGAATAGGCCAGGGACAGTCAGTCATGAATGGATCCCCTGTTCTTGTCTGCAGAGTGACATTGCAGGACTTCCGAGAGATGGGAGCTGAGCAGGACTCATGGGTTTTCACCCTCCCCAGGCTGTCTCTCACTGGCATATCTTTCCATTGGGATCTGCATCTTCTGCTATGGGATCCAGTCCATTGGGAGCTGACAGAATGCTGACGGTGAGGCAGGGAGGGGGGTGTTCGAGGGTATTCGACTGTGGAAGTGTCACAGTTGTGATAATGCTACCCATATCTCCCAGACAGTCACACTGAAAAGATAAACGACGAAAACAAAACTTTTACCGAGATGTTCTTCAGAATCTGGAGAGATTTCTCCACAAGAACGTGCGCATGTTTTAAAAAGTATGGACATAGAAACATCTTTTTTAAAAGAAGAAAATGTAAAGTGGGTTCTGTATACATTTAGACTTTTAAAAGTATATCTTGTGTAGGACGTCCTTTTATTGTTTAAAGAAAAAGCTATTTAGAGATGCTTATCTGTCCTTTCAGGGTGGTGGAGGGATGGGTGAGGGCTTAATGCATTTCACATTCAACTTTTTGCCCCACTGGATGGAAGCAGATACACCAGATGAGGCATGGGGATGGGGGACGGTTCATGAGGACGTGTCCTGACTGACCTCTCAGCTGTTGGAAACACGAAGAGGTGCTGGACGGATGGAGGTGCTCCGCTACTCCATTGCTGGGCTTCGGTCTCTCAAATTCCTGCGGGATATTCTGTGGAAGCATGGCCTGCTCACTCTCGGGGATCCGGTCACCCTTGATGGCCAGAGACTGCGGGAATCCAAACATGAAGAGAGCCGAGAAAAAGAGCAAAGCACCGCAGAGCAGAAAGCCTCCCCACCAAGCTCCGATCCAGCGAGGGTCCTCGGGCGAAATGTCCAGTTTACCTGCAAGAGATGGTAGAATGCTGAAAAGCAGCAATCAAATCCAATCCTCACAGTATTTTTTAAAATGTTAGTCTTCCGTGTGAGTTTTCTCTTCTCAGTACTTAACCTGAGTCATTGTGTCATTGAGACCAGAACAGGTAGCACCAGGCAGTTTCTGCTGTGAACTTAGTTGGGCCAGTCAACATTAGTTCCCCACTTCACCCACAACTCACAATGAAAATGTCACCCTCATGTTTATCCACCTCCATGGCCTTGCCCTTCCCTACCTCTGTAACACCCTTCGAGATCTTTGCACCCCTCCTCCAATTCTTGTGTAACCCTCACTTAGGTTTTAACTGGCTACCAGCAAACTCTAGAATATAATGTTTTCAAATTCTGTGCCTGTATTCCTCAAAAGTACCAAATGGTATGAGACGGAGTAGGGAGGTGCCAGGTTCGATATCCATTCTGTGATGTCAATGATTTCAAAGCTGCAACAAACTCTCCAATATCCTAAATAAAAACTGAAAGAACTGCGGATGCTGTAAATCAGGAACAAAAACAGAAGTTGCTGGAAAAGCTCAGCAGGTCTGGCAGCATCTACGAAGAAAAAAA